AGTAAGCAAAAAAGAAATACAAATAAATAACAGTCAGGTATTAAAAAATAATGTTACCCTGCCACAAAGGCGATTTGCATATGTCTGTGTTTAGAGGGCCAAAGAACAGGCTGTTAGATAAATTGTGCTGACCTAACATGTATATTTTAATTTCCATTTTAGTTATTTCTTTGGCATTTTGGAAAAACTGCAATAATTCTAAATGATCTTGGAGTTGGAGGATGTCTAAAACTGTTTTTTAAAATATTCAAATTTACATTCAACCCCTTTCATTATAACAGGTCCAAAAAGTTTTTTTTTCATTTTTAAGCATTTTGTTTTTAATACCTCGATTCTTCCCCTGAAAAAAAAAGGAATGGATTATAAAAACAGAAGATTCCAATCCCTTTTAAAACCTTAAACTGTCTCTATCTACAAGAGATACAAAGATGTTACATGTTATATACATTATATATAGATACAAAATCCATATGCATATGAACTTCACATTTTGAATTGAACTCACTTGCAATGGCTAATTGCAAAGCTCATTGCAAAGCGCAAATGAATCTTAGCTTCCTCAACAGATTATAGAAGTATTGGTTTAAAAACTATGACTTTGAAATATATAAACAAACGGGGGAAAACTAGCCTGTTTTTTAATATATTCAATACCGATTTCTTACCTCAGGAAAATATTATTGCTCAATTCAAGACATACAGTACAGTAGAAGTACAGTACAACAGCTTAAAGTTTTCATAAACCAGAAGCAATTTTACAAATCTTCAATATTAGGTTTATCATACAATAATTGTAAGATATTGTGCTATGCGTCTAAAAATAAAAACAAATAAATGATTTTTTCACTTCTCCAGACAGAACAGATGTTCTTATTGTTGTTATTTCATAGTTGACTTGAGGTTTACCCTATGTCCAGTACACTATTGAAAACCACATTATCCTCGTGGCAAGCTCAGCTGAGCACGCTCCTGTCAGAAGAGTGGAGTAGGATTGGGATGCAGACATTTCAGCATTCAGGGCAATGCACACTATGCCTCACACAGTTTGCTATTGCTGCTCCCACAGGAAGAGATTGTAATATGGTGGGGATCCATAACATGTTGGTCACTGAGTGTACAGTAGGTCCCAATAATTCTCTTGTTTATTTTTGCTACAGTATCTTCTCATGGCCGTATCAAAGTTAGTTTGAACCTTCGCTGAGTTTTGTTTGAGCAAGGAGTGCAGCTGGATTCACTCTTACAATTCTCTGAAGTTAATGGGTGCAAAGACGTACATATATTTTATGGTTTGTCTTTTACTGTATAACGGACTCATCTACAACTATCAATAGAACAGTAAATTACACACTTTCTGGAATTCCCAAATTATTTAACATGTGACAACTGTGTTGACAGTTTTCTACAAATATGCATTCTGATGTATGATTGTAAGTGATTTAGAAATATAACTGTCTGTTAAGTCAGGTGCTGTGGACCCTTGTTTTGAAATGATCAAATCCATCATGGAATGTGACCTGATTAACAATATATTATAGCGAGAAGTTTACATGAACCCTTTAAACACATTTGAAAACTGTATCAAATGAAGCCTTAAACCAAACCTTTTGGATAACAGGGAGTTTTGATGTGTACTGCATTATCACATGTACCCTGTATTGAGGTTTTTTAGAGACATTCTTCTGCAGGTAATTCAGTATAGTATTTCAATAAATACTGTTTTAGAACTGTCTAGGGATGGCAGAAAATTGGTATTTAGGCTATGATGCAGATGCCAACTTATTTCTTCCTGTACAGATGAGGTTTTCAGTATGTTTGTTTGCTGTTAAGCTGGAGGCATTTGTTGCTATGGAGACTTCAAAATGTGTGAAAATGTCTTTGAAACTGCTGATATCTTACATTGTACTACAGATGGTTAATCTCAGCCCACACACTAAGGGAAAGTGAACACAAAAATAAGGAACATATATACGTTTTTTAAAATAAAATCCTTCTGGAATTTGTTTAAACCCCAGCATTAAATAACAGCTAAAGGTATGTAACCAAAACTTAATGGTTACCATAGAAACTATTGCCATTTGACAACTGAGGCGCATCAAGCTTGCTTTGTTTTTAAGTACACACAATTTGAGGTAATACAATATAAAAGGATATCTTTCGAGATGTGATGTGATACAAGGTGTTTCTTTAAGATACATTGTGGACGATTGACAGGAAAGTTGACAGTCACCTTTTATTAGTTCCTGCCACCATATTGCTCAGTAAGTGGTTTACTAACCCCAGTCCTGTACAATGGATTCATTTAACACAGGATAGTCTTCTAGTGGACAATTGTTTTGACTTCATTTTCCTTAAGAAGTTTTATCGTGTGCTGTATTTAATGGTTCAGATGGACAACAATAAAAACTTCAAGAATTTTGTGTCCACTAACCAGTTCTCTTAAAAGTAGTACTTCTCAGTTTGTCTCTGGATTACTATGACCAATATTTCCTCTGTTTTTGTTTATACAATACCCTTGCGTTATGTGGCAGCTAACTGTGAGCTTTGTATTCTAAATATTCTCACACCATGGTAAAATAGAGATATAGCATAGCTTTTGATGATGTAGTCAAGGTCCTGTTTGCAACAACACGACTGCACTGTAATGTATTTAGCTCCCTGGATATTTGACCTGGTTTATTACAATAGAAGGATATAATTATTTTTTTCAGTTTATCATCAATGAAATTTGCCTTGTCTCTCCCTGGTTTTACATCCAATCAAAATCTTATTGAGATTTCCTATTCTGTTGTCATTGTTTCAGCCAGCATCCTATGGCTACTGCACTATTCTAGTTAAGAAGTTTGTTAATTACAGTGATTAGGAAGGATATATACAGTATGCAGACTTGAAAAGAGCGGTGGCCCCAGCGTTACTACCCATGGTTTTCCACACAAGAGTTTGCTCCTATTAAGCTGTCAATTTTCAGTTTATCGAAAACTCCATGTGTGTGGTAACATCTTGGATTCAGTTCTAAACCTCACCAGGCCATTTTTCACAAAGCTCTGAACACCTACAGTAGGTACACCATGTCATGGCAGCGAGGTGTGAGGCTGGCCTCATCTAATCCATGATTAATTAAGCAGGACAGCTGGCTTTTGCCAGGTCTCTCCCTTTTTAGAAGGTTCATGCAGTTTAGTCTTAAAAATAATTCTGTCATAAATTAACACCCAGTTCACTCCCCTCAGCCTGCATGACAGTCCCAAAATTCAAGCTCTGTATAATAATTTCAGATTCCACAAGTACTGTGGTGAATTGCTGCAATTCAAAACACAATCTATATGATTCCTAGTGTTTTGGTCCAAACAAAGCATTTTAATTAACTTAGCAATTAACTTGTATATGTATATTGTTTTTTTTATTTGAATTTTACAACAAAGTTCAGGAGGGATGACAGTCCATCAGTAGAGCATATTTCTATATACTGTACCATTTTTACTGTTATACTACTTGTAATAATTTTGCTTTGTACAGTATATTTACTTTTCAGCTGTTTGTGGAACTCTACCATGTCTTGTATGTACTGTTTGACAAGGCAATATGCATCTTTTGGATAAAATCCAAAAATAAACCATAAACCCAGCACCTTCATGAGAATTTGACGTTTAATTTTAAATCAACAACCCAGTACTTCCATTTACTTAAGAATAAAATAGGTCACTTCCTTTCAAGTTCTCACCTGGAACATTTAAACCTCCATACATACAGTAACTATGGGGACTGCCAGGCTTCATATGAAATGTGAAGAACCAAATTAAAACATAGAGAAATTAAAATTAAACCAACTTTTTTTTGTGTTCTACAAACGAGGTTGTTATTAAACTGCCCTGGAAGCCAAAGTAGTTAAGTCATTATTATCATAAGGGACACTTGAACAAGAATGCACATCTTTTTAATGACATGAAATTATATCAACTGAAGAGACCTTACTCATCTATCCAAGCCAACAGATGAGAAGGTGTTAGATCTAGACGAGTTTGTAGACAGCACTTAAAACACTCTGTAATAACGGATTCATGAACATTGTCACTACGTTGTCTGCTGGGGTCTGCAAATCACAGTTCAGCAACTTTCACCATGAGTTCACCATGTCTTTAGACAATTTCCAAAGACCCTGAATAATTTCATTATTGTAAATCAAGTGGTTTATTTTTTAATTAATTTACAGTCCGTTATGGCGACCCAGATGTGTTAGAAAACACTTAAATCCAAGGACCAGGGTTCTCTTAATAGATGAGTTGATTAATTGATCAATAACTTATAGGCTGTGCCAATTTTCAGAAACAGGTGACTTATATGACTAACTGAACTGGGGGTCTACAGAACAAGGACCAGAAACCCCCTGGTCTGAAACGTTCACAGAGAATCACAAGAATTACTGTGATCACAAGAAGCGAATAAATCCTGACGAGGCATTTTGCGCTCTCGGAAATTTCACGCATTACGCACCACAGACGAAATTAATACCTGCTGGAGAAAAAAAAGGTCACCCACAAAATGACCAGAACCAATTACTTTATAACAGTACTTACAGCAAAGTTAAGTAGGTGAAAGTCTCTATAGGGAGTTTAAAATATAATAATAGCCACTGTTCTGATTTTTTGAAAGCGCATTCCCTTTACAGCAGGGGGTCTCCAGCCCTGGTCTAAACCATCACAAGTTACCCTAATTCCCTAATAATTTATTCAATAAAGGGAACTTTGCTTTCTTAAGATTAAGGGTATGGTGATGATTTCCCCTAACGATCTCTAAATTTAAATCACCATCTTAACTGGCTACAGTTCAGTTGTTCTTGGGTTCTAAAAACGAACAATTTGGGAACTGCTTGCGGAGACTCCTGGACTAGGACTCTCCGGTACCAGCGTTGGAGAACACCCGCTTTACAGGCTCAATAAAAAGTCAATCATATTCGTATACCAACCCCTGTTGTACAGAGGTGGGGACTTGCAGCACAGTGAAACCTGTATGATTGACGCTGGAACTCCTTGTGGCTTTCTTGTGATGTGGGCTCAGGAGAGAGTTTAAATCCCGATAAAGAAAGAAATACTGGAAGCGAAAGAGGTATTCGGGCTGTACCTGTCAAAACCTTGTGTCAAACTCCAACCATGCGGCAAAATATACGTCTCGCACGCCTCAGCCGAGCAGCTTCCCACAGAAAGAGACGATAAATTACTTCATTTACATTTGAATGTATACATGTATTTTTCCAAAATAGAGGATTTGGAAGAAGAAACCCGTCTCCCTTCTTGACAGATTCTTCAAACGACCTTGGGAAGCTCAACTTAAATGTAAGAGCAGCGCTATGTCATGGTAGGCAAAGCATTTATTTTGTAATTCCTGTGCCGTTTGTCTGTACTGGGAGCTCATTACATCATAAGGACAGTGAGTATCTGCATTGTGCATGGGAGAAACTGCGTTTAGGCACTACTGGGTTTCTCGGGGGGAGGATGCACCGTGCGCTATCAGGTAAAGAAATTACGAGTAATTGTAAACCAGGACATTGTGCTGCATTCTGTGAGAAGGGGGTGATTGAAATAAATGCAATATTTTTTCTTATATTGAAAGCGGGATTTACATTTACGCTATTTCAAACAAAGTAGTGTCTCAAACCACTTTATATCTTTGCTTAATTTTAGAAGGAGGAATAAAGTAAACCACACCAAATGTCTTTTATTAATTACAGCTGTACTTTAAACACGTGCCAGTGACCGTGCTAGAGAGGCTACTCTTTCGTCCAATGCGGCATACATTTTTTAAATTCTAGCGTTTAGCTTTATTTGTATTAATGATGAAAATATGCTCTCTGCAATTACGGTACAAGCTTACTGCTTTGACGTTACTTTCATTTAATTCTGATGGCCCTGATATTGCTATTTTACTTAAATGATATGTTGTGGTTTCGGAAGTAAAGATAAAATAACATTCATATTTATTTTCCATCACTGGAAGATACTGGTAAGTTAAACGTTTTCATTTCACCCCACGGTGTTGCTGATCTGAAATGCGCTGAAAAGGTGCAAAATGACATTCCTGTGTGTGAGATGAAGCTTCGCTCTAAACCGGTTGTATTACGCTATCCTGCCTTATGTCAGGGATGTGTAATACACAGTCCAATCTTATTAGTATGAATTCATGATGTTAAGGTAACTGTTTTAATCATATTAATAGATAAAACGGAAATCGTCTGTGAAAAGAGGTACAGTACCTTTTAGGAGGTACTTTATATGTACTAGTATTTTCTTAACTCTGAAATGTGATCTCTGAAAAGCAGTTAAAGTTAGTAAATTAAAAAAAAACGACAAGAATTACCTCCTTTTAGCGTAACGCAAGGCAAAATACGAAGTATACTAACGATGTAGTATTTGTGCTTATTATGTGCCTTTAAGATGTTTCATAATACCGCATTTCTTTCCATGAATATATTTTTTATCTTTTTGAGGAGCGACTTTCTCATCTTTAAAAAGGTCGCATTCTACCGTTTTAGGGAAAAGGGGGTATGTCCTTGACGTCAAAAGATATAAAAACAGTTCACTTGATTTTCTGTCGCAGTTCTCAGCGGCCCTGCTACCTGCTTGAACCTGATTAAAAAAAACTGTACAAATTGCAGTTAGCCAGTTTTAAATTCTTTAAAATGTGAACTTGTTAAACTAAATTTAAATGTTTGCAAGGGCAAAGGCTGCTAATTCAACCAAAAGAATCTGGGTGAAGAGGGGTGACATCCTGTTTCTCTCTGAACAGTTGCTTTAAGCTTTGCATAATTGCATATTTTACTAGTAATTAAATGGACACTTTTCTATATATAGCGCTCGTCTGTAAGGTCGCCCTTTTATGTAATCTTTTAAAAAATACTATGTGTTGCTCTTGCAGATGGAGAAAAAAAAAGTATTATTTAAAGCTACTCTTTTAGGAGTCTTATATTGTGTTTGGTATGTGATACCTTTACATGGGGCTGGTTGAAACCTTTAAATTACCCTGGCTCATGGTTGTCCTGCAGGTTTAATGTAAACAAGGGACTTACACAATGGCTTCCCACCCTGTACCTGAGAAGTGTGGCATTTCATGATTACCTTGACCTGAAAAATCCATGTCCTTGCATCTTTCACTGTTTGTGGTGTTCTGTAGTTAACGAGTGAAATGTTACAATTATGTAAAATACTCCTCACTCACTCCTATTATTCAATACATCTGCATATTTCCTCCCGTTCGCAACTGGACAACAGCCCCTAAAGTGTATAAAAGCACATCTAATGCAATTGAAGCTGTCAGATGAACAAGCACTAGTAGAACAAAAGGGTAGAAATCAGAAGCTTGCTATCAAGTACACAGCAGTGGGAGGATAGTGGATTGTTGTACTTTTACGTGGGCTGGGGTGTGGAAACTGACTGGGCAAAGCCATCTGAATGTAGTATTTTGTTTCTGAGGTGATTCCTAGCTGGATTGGTGAGGTCAAATGATTACATGAATTGCATTTCTATAGAGATTTTCTAAATTTTCTAAAGATTTTCTTTCATAGACTCACGATTTAATTCAATTTTCCAGCAGGATTTATACATCTGTCAATTAAAACTAAGTAAGCCGAATCATTTATTTAAAAATAATTTATTTTACTGTCATTATGGTAGGAATGTTCATTTTTAGTAAAATGCATTTCATTCTGAAAGGGAGAATGCAACCTTTTTAAAAAAAAAACCAGTGTGAAGGCAACAGTTGTGAGCCTTCTGTGTGTAGTTAGAGATCTTTACATTTTTGGAAGCCAAATATTTTGGCTAACTCTCAAAAACTCTGCCTCATTCTTGCGAAGTCCAAGCTATTTCTATACAAAAAACACCATTAATTTGGAGCTTTCTGTTTATCTCCTTTCTGGTAGGACTCTTGTATCAAAGTACTGAGAATAAGGACTCTGTATGCTTTTCTCCGAAATTTGCACTTGTTTTTCATGAGACCCACCCGGGCTTGCTGGGGAGCTGGTGTTCCTAGGAATGGGAATGTAGCTCTTGTTGATAGCACTGTAAGCCAAGAAGTGTCCAATGAGAGGCTGAGAATAAGCTGGCCCACTGGATCACTTGGAGAGCTGGACACTGGTACCTGAGGAATCCTGATGGCAAATGGCTCATGACCTAGCCCACGAGAGATACAGCATCTGGACTCTAGGGTTTAGCCTGCATTCCCATCAAAGTGTCTTTGGTCTCGTCTCGCATAGATTTTAAAGATGTCTAGTTCAAACAATCGCACTGAAAAGGTTCAAAATAAAGTATATGTGTCTGAGATTCAGAGTTCATATGTTACATTCTTATACTCTTTATAGTCTTTTTGGGTTCAAAAATCATTAATTTACTTGAACAGTAAGCGACACGGTGGTTCAGGGGTTAGCACCTCAGATACCTCGCAGTGCTGAAGCCTGAATTCCATTCCTGGGACAATGTCTGTGTAGCGATTGTATGTTCTCCCTATGTTCACAAGGGTTTCCTCCTGGTGCTCTGGTTTTCTTACACAGTCCAAAGACATACAGTATTGGTATGTTAACTGGCTTCTAGGAAAATTGATCCTGGTTTGAGTGTGTTTTTGCGTCTGTGTGTGCCATGTGATGGACTGGGATCCCATCCAGGATGTATTCAGCCATGCATCCGTTGCTTGCTGGGATAGGCTCTGGTTAACCCTGCAGTTGATAGACAATGGATGGATGTGTGTTCACTTGTATTCTGTTCAGAGTATCACTTTACTGAAGGGGTATGCAGAATTTCTCTCCACAATTGTCTTCTTAACTGGGGTTGAAATATTGTGTTAGATTAACTTATTGTGTACTTAAAGTGGACATTTCTTAGGTTTCCCCTATTACAAATAATACACTTAATTAAAACACACAACATATAATTTATCAACAAACATAAATAAAGAACAACACATCAGCCATTAAAAAGCATACATCCACAGATAATACCTGGTACAAACAAAATATCATTAACAAATATCATTCAGTATTTGTACAGGAGTATGGAATTAAGGACCTTTTATTCAAATTTCTAATAGCTAATAGGGACTCTGAAACATTGCGCAGATGGAAGCATCACAAACCGAGAGCTCAGGGAATGGGAGGCATTTTTAATTCTACTTTCTGCCATTCTATGCACTGCACTATCAAAAATGTCCCCCCCCCTCTGTTTTTGTGGTTTGCCAATCACCTTCCCTGCAATAGTAACCACACTAGAGATCTTGTTTCTATACTTCGTGCTCAGGTTCCCATACCAAACTGTTATATGAAAAGATAAAACATTGTATTGCATTGTATCTTTGTCTTGTAACATACACATAGGTCAGTTTTTGCCTGAATTTCTTTTGAAACTTGCATCAAGTTAATCAAGGGATTCTACAGTTTATGGCTGACAAAACATTGCATTGCAGGAACAACTCATTTCATTTTCACTGAACATTTTGTACTTCTACGATGGATGGTTAATGGCCATTTTAATGAGAAAGGGGCAGCAAAATATTTTGATATGTCCTAGCCACACCATAAGTGTGCACTGAAGAGGCCTTACAGTTTTGAAAGGAATGAGAAGATTTACAGACAGTAGAAGCCTACATTGCTCATTT